CTTTACATTCTGTCCAACTCTGCTCTTTTGTAATATCAGCAGACCCTTCAGAACGCATGTTTTCTGTAAACCATATTTGCTTATGTATCTATTTGTGACCACATAGTTTCTTTTGCCTCTAAATGTCCAAACCCACTCTGCCATTTCCTAAGGGTTTGTTCAACACTTAGTTTTGCCTTAAACAAACCTCTCAGAGATTTACTCAAATATATCCAACCTTCTATCTCAACGTTCCTCTTTCCCCAGCTTTTCCCAGGAATGGACTATATGAACAGAAGTGCAAATCTGTTAAAACAATGGGAGATCTGAGTCTGTGTCTGCATAGACCTTCACGAGTAGACATGTGCATCAAGACTGTTAGGATACTGTATCCAGCATCTGTACCCACATCTAAATAATTCTCTGTGCTGGTAACATCCCATTACGTAACCTAACTAAATTCAACAACAAAACTTAACAATTCACATTTAACTTAATCAGTTTTACTAAATGATGGGAGAGTTCTGAACAAACAACAGACTACTGCGTTCTTGGTAAAATAAGGTTTCACAGTGGTCCACAGACAGGTATAGGGGAAGGTCAGCAGGTTGATTTAAGATAGGTCAACTAAAGAACCCTGGCACTATAACAGCTCGTAATAACCATTAAGTGAATGATCGATGAAGAGAATGACTTCTGACGTGAGCTCATTTTATCAACAAAAAGGTTACAGGAACAAGGCAGACAGTGTGGCTGTGAAAGAGCCCAGGCTGTCATGTGCAGACTGCAGCTCTGACTCCGCCCCATCTCTGTTAAATCAGTGTCGTCACAGCAGCTGCCTGGCGCGCTGCTGGAACTAGGTCGTAAGAGCCTTTCAACCTGTGTAGAACCAATCAGAGTGAGCCACCATAACTGTGGCCATCTCTGTTGTTTTCTCTATTACTGTACAGTTGCAAGAAAAGCATGTCAAAGAAGGGAAGGAGGGAACAAAGTTATCAAGACACATGTGTCTACAAACACACCTGAGCTGCATGGTTAAAAACAAGCTGGAGGAGGCAAATACCACAGTAATTCTTTGGCATTTTAAACAAAGAGACTGTAGTCCTTACTGCAGAAATAACAACACTGATATAAATAAGGTGCACATACAAAATGTCAACACAAGTAAAACACACACACATACAAAAATCTCCCACAAAACACAAAAGAAATGCCTTCAACAGGAGCTGTGATATGGGCTCACTGGCTAAAATGCCTGCTATGCAAACATGAGTTTAGAACCCCAGATCATACATGAAGAGCCAGGCGTGGTGCCCTGAAGTCTGTAATTCTAGCTCTGGGTGTCACAAACACAAGGATCCCTGGTACTTGCTGGCCATGCCGTCTAACTCAGTCTGCCCAATTCACAGGTCTGGGCTCAGTAAGAAACACTGTATCAAAAAAGAATACATGGACAGCAATAAAGTAAGATGCTCAACACTAACTTCTAACCTCCATGTGCACCAGCACACATGTGCACAGACACAGAGTATACAAACACATACACAAGAGTAAAAAATAATAACAACACAAAGAAAGAAAATACCTTCAGTGTTGCCACAGCCCAACTTCTTTCCTGGTCTATCCAAGATGGAAGCTGATCACGAATTCTTTGTTGAGAGTCCTTCAGTAAAAGCAATTTTCCTTAATGCATTTGGTAAAATTCAATTTTTAAAAAAAAAGCAATTGACTAGCTATTTTTACCAATACAAGCTTGAAAACAAAACATTCTACATACCACTTCTTTATATTTATTAAGTCACGATGGTAAAATTACTTGCAACACTGTTAGAAGCTCACGGACACATAAAACATGGCATGTGTTTTTATTATGCTTATCCATCCATTTCACGTACGTATGGGTGGCCCTGGAACGTCCGTTCACAGGAAGGAACACGCACTCTGTCGTCTGCCCAGAGAGCTGCAGTCCCTCGGCTGGCCTTTGAGCAATCACCAGACCCCCCAAGCCCATCATCAGCGTGCTTCCATAGGCAGTCTAGAGAGGCCATCTTCACGGAAGCGGTCACATGTACTTTACAGACACTCAATTTGCACACTGTCCCTCTGTCCCTCAAGGAGACAGGACTGAGTTAATAATAACTGGAAACTTTCCACCACACTGTGCTTAAATATGCCTAAAATAAACTCAGGGTCACACCCCAAAGTTTGAGCCAACCCGGGTTACTGTCTTCATGCCTCCCACGGATGTCACTCTGCTGGTTGTGGGGTTGCAGAGACCCCCACAATGATGTAGATTGTGTTGTGTTTTCAGTGCATCACTTTCAAGATCAAATACAAAATTTATTTTAAAAGCTGTTTTAATAGACTTTTTAAAGCCTTAAAAAGTAATTTTAAAGCTTCAGGTATATAAGAAAAAAGTAATTTTCCTAAAGATTATAACATCTTTCTTAAAACAAAATACAAATTCTGTGAAAAAAGCAATGTTAAAATCTTAGGATTTAATATTTTTCACTAAAAAATGTAACTTTTCAAGTTCTAAAAATATATTAAGCCCATTTCATAGTAAGGAAGCATAGGTCAGGACATATTCTTCTAATAAAAGTATAATTTCAACAATAATTTTAGACTCCTGTGACCCAAGACAAGAGCTTCTTCCCCTAGGAAAAAAATTACATTGTAACTTACAGCTTTTCGCAGCATGTCTCCAACAACTACGCCTGTAAACGTATCCCATTCCTAGTGCATGAAACATGGAGGACACAAAAAATATCAGAACATAACCAGCCAACGTTGTATTCAATTTCTTATAGGACATTTTACAACGCAGCTTCCCCAGAACACAGGGACAGTCCCTCCCACTTCTTCAAGCAGCCCAGCGTTAGGGAGTCATGTGCCACTGTAAAACATGCATGAAACCTACCAGAGCTAACTGTATTAAGGCAGAAATGTATGTGTACCATGTATGACACACTCATCATCTAGACATTTAATTGTGGTTCTTTTATGCTCTCTTAGTCACTAATGCACATGCAGTGAAGTCCACCAAGGCTGTGTAAATTAAGAAAAGTATTCCAAGAAGGAACAATAGTGCATATAAGACCTGAAAACATACTAGCTATAATTTTAAAAGTTACAGGAAAGATAGCTTAAGTTAATAACAGTTACTAGGACCAAATTAATAAATTCAGGAACAAGTGAGCAAATAAGCAACAGCGTGTGAATAAGAAAAAAATGAAAGACATGAAAACACAGAAGATAATCCCAGTCTGACCAAGCAGAGTTGGAGGGCATAGGGTGAATGTGGACTCTCTTAGCACCCTTGCTATTAGTGCTCCCTCTAGGATATTCACACAATAATGGAAAAGAAAAGCAAACACAATTCTCTTTTTAATTTAATTTTAGCTCAGGTAAGTGTCGTGACTATTAGATGTGGTTATAGGACAGACCTGAAAAAAGACGCTGGACATAGAGCAGTATGACCCCAACGGCTCAAGAGGTAATGGTGCAGCCCCATCCCGCACTTTGTCTGCCACTCTGGATAGGTGAGCGCGGGGGTGGGGGGGTGTGGGGGGGCAGATGATGCAGTGTGTGCCCACTCTCCCCCTGCACTGTTTGGAACAGGAAAGCCAGGAGGTAGGCTCTTCTGGTATCCCCAGTAAGCGGGCCTGGCTCGTGGTAACCCAAGTACCCTGGGAAATTACTTAGACTCCTTTCCTTCTGTCACCCCAGTCCTGATTATACATCAGGGAAAAAGAGCTTCAAGCAGCCTCTCACGCAAATCACTTAGAGAACATTAGCTCATGTTTATACAGCTTACAGCCTCAGCCATCTCTAGCCTAAGAAAAACCCCATCTGTTATCAACCCCATCTGTTATCAGATTTCTCTGTAATTCCAAGACTCCCTTCTTCAATACTACTTACATTTTCTTGAAAAAGTTCAGGATGCATACCCCGAACAAAGTGCAAAGCAAACATCAACTGGTCAGCCTGCAAAAAAGAACAGGGTTACACTTTGCTATTTAAAATTTGTCTCTAAAGTTGAGGTACTATTGCTCTGTTTTGTCCTTTTTCACCAGTAATAACAAGTGACTTCAGGTTCTACCCACATAGAACAAACCAAATACTCACATTTTCTCTTGATTAAGAAAATAAATATAAACACAGTATTCAACAAGATGATAAATATGTTACTTTGAAGCCTCTGTCAAGTATTATCCCTTGTGACAAACATGTACACACACACACACACACACACACACACACACACAACCTCACAGCATCATTATATTTGTCTAGTCACTATTTCCTTTGCACTAAGAAAGGACACTGAAGTCTCCATATTCAATAAAAAGCAGGAAGCCTTCTGTCATTCTATGAGCCTCCACTGGGATCTGTACTGAGCACATGTGATCCAACACTGGCTGGAAATGTGTGTTCAGGAACAGTAAGGTGCTTAGTCTTCTCCTTGCTTTCTGATTACAGGCCCTATTCTGACTTTAGAGAAAAGCATGGAATTACAGTGTCGCATGCCCTGATGCAAGAATGACACATGCTGTCACCCAAGACAACCACAGTCTTCTTCCATCATTTTCAAGGGTGGAAATGGCAGAAGAAATCATTGTTTGTCGTCCTTCTGGTTGTCTAGGTATAATAATGAACACCTTAGCCACAATATGAGACAGAGAGAGACAGGCAGACAGAGAGACAGAGACAGAGAATATGAGTGTAGCACATGAACACACTATTCCCCAAAAAGTTCAAGTAAGAATACAGATGAATGAATCAAACTAAGGATCTTTCAAAGTCTTAGTTTATTTGTTTTGTTTTGTTTTTTTAAATCTTGTCATCATCCACAACTGATCAAATATTTTACATTCCTAAAATATCTTATTGTCTTTGCTTATCAGGTCAGAAATCATTATTTAGTTCAGTGTCAATTTATCTCAATATGTTTGGGTTCTTTTTCTTCTCTCTCTCTCTCTCTCTCTCTCTCTCTCTCTCTCTCTCTGTCTGTCTCCCTTTCTTCCCTCCTTTCTTTTTTGGTTCGTTGAGACGGGATTTCTCTGTGTAACAGTCCTGGCTGTCTTTGTAGACCAGGCTAGTTTCAAACTCACAGAGATGCACCTGCCTCCGCCTCCCAAGTACTGGATTAAAGGTGTGCGCCACCACTCCCTGGCCTAGAATCTCTTCCAACACACACACACACACACACACACACACACACACACACACACACATATATATATATGTATGTATGTATATAGCCAATGAATTCCCTACCAGATGAAGGAAGGAAGATAAACAAAAGATGAGCAGGACAATATCCCACTCAATTCCATATAACACTCCAGGAAATAACTAGAGGAGCCCATTGGATTAGAATTAGTATTGTGTAAGTCTCTATAGAATGTTATAGAACAAGTTCATGTCTGTACTGAGTGTTTCACTGGTCGTCTGCTGGCAAGAAATCTCAAGCATCAGGCAGAGTCTTTTGAATTGCAACTTCAACACACTCTGCATCCAAGTAAAGAGAAGTTAATTCTAAATCTTAGCCTCCTGCTCTATGTAACAGTCCTACTGCAGGTGTTAAAACACACAAGGCTCTCACCTACCACATCTAACAGGTAACAGCACTCTGATACAATGGCAGACTCATGGAAAACTACATAATATTGAAAGGGAAATGTACATCAAAACTATCCTTCCAATCCTATAATTTTCAAGAGACAGTAAAAACTGAACGCTATCAAAGTTGTCTGTACTACAGTAGTCAGGCTCCTGGCGCCCAAGGAAAAGCCCCATTCCATGGCAAAGGAGTTGGGACAGCACAGAACCTTGCTTTGGGTCGGCAGCTAACTTGTGCATTTGAATGGGTGACTGTGCACAGCTACGATACTGTGAGGAAGAGGGGTGGAAGCGTGCAGCACAGAAAATT